CGTCCGCTCTGTTCCACGTGCTCCACAGCTGCCGAGCCGGGGAAGGCATAAGAGCTGGTGATTAAATTCCTGTGAAAGCCTTTCCTCCCGGGACTACACAGCATGAGACGCTAGCCTGAGCAAATATTAGAAAAATATCAGTTTTTGGCACCCCTAATTTGCTCAAGATGAATGGATTGACTTCTCAAACACGGCGAGATCCCGAACAGATCAACACAGCTCGGCTTTCTTCCTAATTTCCAAGTTCAAATGTATACAAAATGTTTATCTGAAGTGCAGAAGAGCTTAGAGAGGCAAGCTGTGCAAATAATTAGTTATCTTAAGCGCCTTCACACCTGAAACAGAAGGTTGGAGGGTTTTTTTTTCGGTTTGCTATTTATTTTTTTTAGCTTATTTCATCACACCTTTGCGGAGCAGAAGCAAAGACTGAGAACCTTTGGGGGTTGGTGTTGCCAACAGCAAATGCCTTTGGACACCGGCGTGAGCCCGCAGGGGACCGGGGACCCCCCTGCCCTGCCGGGACACACCAGCACCCCACGGGCAGGAGCAGCCCTGAGCCGGGGAAGCTCGGGGCCACTCTCCTTTGCTAGAAAGCCTCACCGGCTTTTCAAGCAGGAAGAGTTTCTACACACCTCGGCTGCTGGTGAGAAATACTCCATTTCAAATACATACACAATTTCAAATCCATACACACTTTTTTTTTTTTTAAACTGTAAACAGGTTTTGAAGAAAAGATCAAAATCTCAGCGAAATATTTTGAAGCTGTTGGGATGAAGCGCTTCACTGTACATGATATGAATTTCTTTAGAGTCATTTCTATTTGAGGGATTTACATTTGCTTTTACATCCCAAAAGCAGAAGAGGGGAGGAGGGAAAAAAAAGGTTGAAGCCACCAAGAGTTCCTTAGGACAGCGCAGCCACTTCCCGCCGACACCGGGGAACCGGGACCAGCCCAGAAAATGCGGCGGCACGTGAAGGGCTGGGACCTGCCTCGGGGCCCTCGGCCGTCCCAGGCCACTTCCCCGGCCACCAGCCCGCCCGCCCTCCCCGTCCCGCTAGCGTCCGTAGCGCATCCCTGAAATTCCCCCGGGAACAATTTCTGGCAAGCATCTCGACACGGCAGACAGAGGTAAGGAAAAGGCCCCAGACGGCTCCGAGTATATTTTGCAAGTGGAAATGCAGAGACACAGAGGGGATGGTGCGGGGCGTGCTCCTGGCTGGGAAGCAGCCATTCCCTTTTGCGGGGAATTATCAAGGGGTTTGCACCAGGGAGCAAACAATTTTAAGCGTCGGAATCCCTTTTGCTCTGCCCTTACAGACAAATCATTGGGTAGCAGGAGCGTCGGTGCAGCGATGCCGGGTTACTCCTCTCCCTAAGCCTGCTGGGAAGCTCCTTTGAACACTTACAACATCAGAGCATAGGACCTGATTTGTTAGACAAGCCAGACTTTATTATTTTTTAAAAGGGGGATATTATCTTCTGCCTCCAAAGGAAAGGGGAAGAGGAGAAAGCCGCTGATATGGAAGGGGGTAGAGACAGACACAGAACCTCATTATTAAACAAAATAAATAAAATATACTAGCAGAAAATGTGTCTTGGCTTTATTACTATATTCTGTCCTCTAAATATTTCATTTCCAACTAATGCACAAGCCAAATGGAAAATTTCAAGCAAAACTGCACTACTTAGAATATGCTTAATTATTGATTCAGCCAGGAGGGAAAAAGAGGAAAGAACCAGAGGGGAAGAAAGGGCACCCAGCCGTTGCCGAGCTCTCCGCCCCGGAGCTGCCGCGCTTCCCCCCATCCCCGGGGAAGGGGCTGCCGGGGCCCCCCCCAGTCACCGGGCCGGGCGAGGAAGAGGAGGGAGCGGCGAAGGGGCCCTGCCCGCTGCCAAGCACGCAACCTGGGTCTCAACCCCGCGCAGACGGGCCCTGCCTTCAACACCTCTCCCAGCCCACCGGCACGCAGCGAACGTGGGACTGAGTGACTCACCCCAGCCGTGGGTCCCCATCGCCGTCCCCAGGAGCAGCAGCACCAGGGCGAGCCCATCCCCGGGGGAGCCCAAGGGAGCTGCTTTCCCAGCACGGGCATTTATAGCCAAGCAGGGGCAGCTGGGGCCAGTGGCCACGCTGACGGGGCTAGTGGAACTCACCTGGGCTCCTGGCCCGAGCAGGGAAACTGCTCTGGAGAGCAGGGCAAGGGGATGGAGAATAGGAAATCGATGGCAAGTTAAGGCCGGAGAGAGCAATTAGGCCTGGGAGTGCTGACGCTGACTGCGGCAGGAGTTGGATTTATACACTTAGACGGGGCTGGAAATCTCTCAGACACAGCGGTGCAACGGTGCTGCCATTTACAGGGAGGAAAGATGACGCTGGAGCGTGTTTGCAAGTGGACTCCTGGGACCCGGTTCTCTTCCCCTGCTGGGATAAGTCCAAACCAGCCGTTCGGAAGTTACGGGAATTGCAGCGGAAAAACAAAGGGGGAGAGATGGCTGCGGCCGTGGCTGCTCACAAAGCCGCAGGGGCCAGGACGGTCCCCCCGGGGCGGTGACGGGGGCACGGGACCGCCAGCACCGGCTCAGGCCTGCCCGAAGGCGTGCGGCGAAACCCAGCAGCGCCGGCAGGAACCGCGGGTCGAACGCCGGCTCTGTCCCGCCCTGCACGCCAGCGCTGAAAGAAGAAAACATTTGGGTCCCTGTGTTTTCCCGGGTTTCCCCCCTCCACGCTTACGTAGAAGGCCCTTTTCAATCGGTCTGGGTAATTTTTGGTGAGAAATCTCGTGGTCGTGAATGAAAGCTGAAAACGTGCTCTTGGAAACACAGCCAAAAGCCACTTCTAATTCACACCGAAATGTCCCCCGCAGAAAACCCGTTCGCAGTCTAATTCCCTACGTGCTGTCGGTGCTGTTGACTGTACCTTGTCCTCCATCTCCCGCTCTAGAAAACCACCCCCCTTCTCGTGTTCACATCCTTTGCCATAAGCTAATTTCTCCCGTGAGAGGTGGGCACGCTGCGGGCACAGCAGCCGCCGTGACCCTGAAATCAGCCCAGGCTGGAGCTTTCCCGCCGCCCTCGCCCTCTGGCAAGCTTGCACCCCCGAGAATACCCCGCTCCCCACGCCCTCGGGAGGCTGAGCGCTGCAGGAGGGTCCCCAGCACCCTACAGAGGCCGAAGAAGGGGGGGGAGCGTCGCTGGGGGGTCCCACGCGGGGCTTGGGGGAGCATCGCAATGCCCCGGGGAGAAAGCGCCGGCGTTGGCATGCCGGACGCAGGCTGAGAGCTGGGGAACGGTGCACTCGCAAAGCAAGCTGCGCACTCAATTAGGAATTGCACTGAAATGTCAAATGACGGCTTTTTTTTTTTTTTTTTTTAAGCGACGGAATTATGCCGTGTTACAGAGAAAGTGACAGGTAATTTGGGACGCTGAGGATTCTTGGGCTCTATAGTTAATGGGGAGTTTAGCACCAATTCCTCTGTAATTTGCACTTCTGAGAAACCGCGTTATTACAAAGTCAGAAATCTCAAGCACTTTCAACTCCGGGATCTGCCAGACTGACGCTGACCAGGAACTGAGGAGGCCCGAGTCCACAGGTCACCCATTTCAATATCTGAGGCTGGGTGGCTTCCAAAAACGGCCGCTCCGACGGCGGAGCCGAAAATTGGAGGTGACATTCAGAAGTCTCTGAAAATTATAACCCTGACTTCCTCCTTGAAAAGCTTATCTGAATCCTGGCTTATCCTTTGATGAGGTTACTGAAAAAGCATTCTGCTCAGCGTACTTGAAAGATAACAGGCAATATATGTGAGTCGGTGCGCTTCTCCCCGGGGGGAAAACACTATCGAACGTGCCAAGCGCGGGCCACTAATTAAATGGCCTGCATCGTGCTGGACACAAAGGTCCCGGGGTGGCTCGGTTTAACTCCTTCGCGTCCTTGCGCGCTCCTTAGGAGCCCCTAAGTCCGTCACTAACTACATAAATCACATTCAGAGAGCAAGCTCGCTTTACTTCTGGGAGGAGACTAAGCCAGGGCCCTGGGTAACCCTGCCCATCGATAAAGACGTGGCAATGTTTACATTTTGCTTATCTTTAAGCAAATGCTTGGGTTTCTTGGATGCTGAACCCATGGTGATGAGCAAGTGTCTTCCTGAGCTGTAGGAAGAAAGGAAAAGCGAGCAGAGAAAGAAACACTGTCATATCGGTGAGAAATGGCAAATTCAGTAATGCTTAATGGGCTGGCAAAGGGGCTATGAAAATTGACCCAGCTCTATTTGTGAGGGAAAATAATAGGGCTTCCTTTATAAAGTGGAGTAGCAATCACAGCTCAACGGGTGGAAAGGAGGAAAGATAATGCACTAAAATACAAGGTATGATGGCAAAATCGGCAGTAATTACGGGGAGCCAAATTCTGCCCTCGGAACAGCAGCCGCAGCCACGTGCCCGGGAAAGGGCCCCGGCGACAGGCTGGTGCCGCAGCGAACGTCCCCCTTCAGAAGGGAAGGTGCTGCTCTTCCCAAAGAAAGGGTTAAAGCGGCTGCTGTGCCCGACGCACGGCGCTGGGCACCGGCTCGGGCTGGGCCGCGGGCAGGAAAATGCTATTCCAGTAATTTGGGGGTTTTCAATGGCAAATTACGCTCTATGCAAAGCCTCTTCGGAAAGCTCGGATGTGCCTTCCAGATGTGGGGTCCCCCACCCCATACGTTTTTCTCACTCCTCCCGCAGCAAAAGCCCCAAAGCTTTCAGTCGGTGGCAGGCAGAATTGGAGCCCTATGTTCTTTGCTTTCACCTTCGAAGAACTCACGAGAATTCCATGCCAACCGTAAGATGGCAGCGAGGTTTGGAGCGTGCGAACTGTTGGTTAGGAAAGGGGAAGCACCTTGCGAGGGAGGTCTGCGGGACCAGCCGGCCCGGGCCCATCCCTGGCACGGGGGGCAAGTGCCTTCGCCCAGCGCAGGGGCCCGTTCCCAGGCAGAGCTGCCCTCCTCTTCCTCCTCCCGCAAACAGAGCCTCTAGCCTGGAAAGCAGGGAAAAAGAACAAAAGCATTTTAATGGCATCATTTCTTTTAAAATTAGCTGTGTCTTAATGCTGCCCCGGCCCCCCAGACGCCAATAGCTGTTGTCTGGTTCCGTGCCGTATCCCCAGCCAGCGCCTTCGGCGTTGCAGGCACCGCTGCGTGAGATTAGTGGGGAAGTGTTTGGAGTCCCTTACATCAAAGGCATTGAAAAACTATAAATTTAACAGAACCTATTATGCAGGTGAGGAGGAAAAAAGCAAGCTCTGTTAAAAAGGACGGCTCATTTCTCCTTGTGCCGGGGCAGGGCTTGAGGCAGCTACTACGTCTCCGGGGAAGAAACCCTATTTAAAGATATGCAAGCCCCAAAAGCTGAGAAATCCCAACAAGTGGGAGAAGCGCCTGGGGCCAGCACCGGGAAGCCTCGGGCGGCCGAAACGGCGGGTCAGGGCAGCGGCCGGGCTCCCTCCCCAGCCCCACACCTCGCATCACAGCCCTTCTCCCCGCGGAGAAGGACGGAAGGAAAGCAGGAGGATGAGAGACGAGGAGGAAAAGACGAGGCTAGCGGGATCAAAGCTTAGGGCAACGTTTGCCGGGTTGCCTGAGACAAGCTCCCGCCGTTGGCAGATGCGTGCCCGCTCGCCGCGGGGGCCAGTGCCGGGGCGACCGAGCCCAGCAGCGCTGGGGGGGGGGGCAGTTCTTCAAAGGGCCCTCGCCTTGCAAACGCTGAGCGGTATTTCCACGGGCCCTTAAACAGAATAATTCATTAGTCAGCTCCGAACAATCAATACCGCGCACCGACAATTTATACACTGACTCTGTTTACCCAGCAGACCCTCTTTGATAATATTATTTATGATTCTAAATAACGCCATCGGTGTTCAATAGGGCTGGGAGGTACCTGGGGGACCGGGGCACAATCAAATTATGAAGACATATGGTTTACTCAGCGCTGGAAATGTTCAACTGCATTTCATCGCTGTTAGTCCTGCCGCAGTACCTTCCCCGAACACTCCTACAGCCTCCTTCATACCGTCCGCCGCATGGGAAGGCTCCTTCAGGGAGACGGCTCTCGCTCAGCCGACAGAGAGACGGGGCTGTAAAGGGGATTTCACCCTGGCTCCTTCTGCATTCGCGCAGCTGAAGGACACGCCGGGCCACTCGATGCAGCCCAGGCCGCCGCGGCAATTGAAGGGCTGCGCGGCCGGGGCGCGGCGGAGCGGGCAGGGGCAGGCAGGGCTCGGCGGCGAGCAGCTCCTCCAGCCCCCGCTCTCCCGGAGAGGCGCCGGCTGCTATGTATGCGGCACGGCACGCTCCGCATCTCTTGGCTGTATTTATGTTCGATGCATATACTGCGTGCGTTTTAATAAAGCGCTTCTGATATACCCACGAACCGGCCAAATGCTGAGTCATTATTATCGACAGAACATCGCATAAGTACTCTGCTGAGCTTCCTCTGGGCTTTGAGGGTGTATAAAGCTAACACTAATGCTATATTGCTCTATAAACTCTAGTCCTCCCTGCAGAGAAGCAATAATTAATCAGACGATGCATGATATGTAACAAATTAAAAAGATAAAACTTCCCAACAAAAATTATGGGACTAGAAAGAGGCGGGCTGTGCTCTGCAGCGAGCAGTCCCCGGCATCCCATTTCCCTCGCTCCGTCGGCTGCCACGGGCCGGATCCGGCGAGGTGCGCGGCAGTCGCCCGGCCGGCTCCGGAGCACCCTCGTCCCCTCGCTTTTGCGGGGACGGCCGTGAGGTCGCAGGGAGCCAGCACCGGGCCGTGAGCGCTGGGGACAACGTCCTGCTCCTTGTACGCGGGGCAGACGAAAGCCAGCGCTTTCCGCTGTGGAACGTGTCCCTGAAGCTCTTCGTGTCCCTGGTCCTGCTCTTTCGCGGCTTGCAAATAGCCAAAGCTATAAAATAAAGCGATAACGGTTATCACTGTGGAGATATCTCTAAGAAAATCCCACCAGAGTAATAATTAAAACAGATACTGAGGACTCTGAGAGTCCCGGACTTCTTCTTGGGTTTCAGCTATTTCTGCTGCGCGCTTCCCTTTTGACAAATCAGCATCTTCTTTCCGTAGGAAATGCAGACATTTCAGGACCCGTTCTTGTTCCCCTTTACGCCGAATGCAGAAGTAAACAGTGGCATTTCCTGTGGAACAGAAAGAAAAGACATTTCTGACTCAGAAACACACACACGGGCTTTTTCACTGCCACCTCCCAGTGCCAGCCTGCAGTGCTGCTGGTGGCTTCCAGCAGGAACGTGTTTTGGTGGGGAAGCTCCGGGCAGCCCCTGTGCTTCAGCAGGACGTACGGGATGAGGCAGACCCGTCCCGACAGCGCCTGCACCGGCAGCACCGGGCACGTCCCTCCACGTTGGCCAGCCCAGGGAAGAAGCCGCCAGGATGGCCGATGTTTTACTACCTTCTTTAAAACATTTGGAAAGAAGTTCAAATCGGCATCTGGGGGGTGCTGGGGTGCCACGGGCGCTGCGTGACGCTCCCCAGCCCTTACCAGGGGCGTGGGGCCGCTGCTGGCTCCGCGGCTGCCGGAGGGACGGAGACGGGGAGATGACTGGGAGCGGTGGAAAGAACCGAGAAGGGATGAGGGAGACGCGGTTAAAGGACACGGCAGCTTAGCGATGAAACGGGCCGCGGCTGCGTGGAGCCGAGGCCAGTTTGGCAGCGGGTTGTGCAGGAGCTGTGTCAGAGAATAAACCTGGCTGCAGCGAGGGCGGGATGGAGACCCCGCAGAGCCCTCCGTCGCTCCTTGCGTCGGCCGCTCGGGACGGGGTCCCGCTCCCGCCCTCCTCGCCCCGGTCTGCCTCAGTGGCACGCCGGGTGATGTACTTCTCGTTCCTCCTGCTTAATACCCCGGACTCCCTAAATGGCGCAGAATCTAACCGAGCGGTGGATAAACATTAGTTTCACAGCTCACAAAGCAGAACTGCCGGCTACTGCCAGTCTAGATGTAATGAGTTCCTCCCAGGACCCCTGGGAGCACTTAGAGTGGGCTCTTCTTTACCCAAGCTGCCAGTCAAACCTGTGCCAGGGGGGAAGCAGCGCCGTTAATCTCTTTCCCACCATCCCAGCCGTAGCTGAAATCCCCTCGAGCATGTAACAGTTTTATTTTAACGTGCCGTCCCGCCGGCACGTGGAAGGGAGGGGCGTGGGCTGCCCGCAGGCCGGCTTTCTGCCGCCTCCCCACCACGAGCCCTGGCTGGGGACACTCTGATCTCGGGGGGCCGAGGTGGGGATGAGCCGACAGGATGGAACAAACAAACCAGGGAAAAGCGTTCGCATGTTGTCCTCTCCACCCAGGCTGGTGCTGTCACCTCCTTGGCTATCCTTTAATTAACAGCAGATTGCTGTTCTGCAGAGAGAGACTCATTTAGCACCCGGAACAGGAGCAAGGGAAGTTTGCTTGGCAGCCGGGCACCGGCGGCCAGGGACGTCTCTCACCGCATCGCGCATTCGCCAGGATGCTAAATCACTTGTTGGGAGCTTTTCCCCAGCGTACAGAGCGGATCAGCTAATGAAGGGGATGGCATGTGGATTTTCAGGAGCCCTCGTGTGGCTGGCCACTGCTCCCCGGTACCCCAGGTGCTCCTCGGGGAAGTAAAACACCGCTTGTGCCCGGGTCCCCTCCCCACATCCGACCACGGAGGAAATGTGCAGGGGAAAATCAAGGCGGGAAGCCACATTTGGGCGAGGTGAGCCGGGATGGATCCTGCCTGCGCCCAGAGATGCAACCACCTTCCTGGGCTGCCAACAGGAGACTCGGCTGGGGACGAGCCCGCACCAGCAACGCCTCCCCCTGGGACACCACGGCGAGGACCCCCGGGGCCGAGCCCTCCGCCCGTCCCCACGCGGGCTCTGCAAAGAAACGGCCCTTGCAGGGGCGGCCCCTCAGGACACCCTCTGAAGCTGTTTAAAGCTATTTGTGCCCCGCCGCTCGGCCCCTGCGAGCGGGGATGCGGCGCACACAGACGCTGCCCGCAAATCCCAGGGCTGTTAACGAACACCCAGCGACGGCAAGCGCACAGCCCGACGTCCCCTTCTGAGAAACGCCAGCTCCGGCAGGAGACGTGAAGAGAATCACCCGAAGGATTCATCGATTTCTCCTCTCCAGACCTCTTCCCAGAACAGGTTGGACATACGAGATGGAAAAAAGGGAAAGCGGCTGTCAGGCCCTTTGCAAAAGACCGGCGGACTAATTGCCAAAGTCTAAATATATCCCCGCTCAGTGTGTCAGCCCAGGGCTCCTGCTCCCCCGTCCTCCGCATCAGCGGAGCAGCAAAAGCGCCTGCAAGGCTCCGATCCGCAGAGACGGGCAGGGAGCCAGCGTGGACTTTTCCATCCCTAACCTCTGAGAAGATGGACACCTGTGTCTCTCCTCTCTGCCGGGCCGTATTTAGCAGCTGTAATTATACCCTTTCAATCTATGTATAAATAACTGGAATTCCGGGTAAAATGTTGGGTTGCTTGATTTACATCCCCGGTGAGTCGATAAGGTTGCAACAAGGATAAATCACGGCAGAAGTGCATACTCAGAAGATCTGAGAGGAAGAGAGAAACTTCTGCCCCCCGCTCTCCCATTACTCATGCTTGTTTATAAAGCGGCTGGGATAGTTTTGGCATTAAATAAACATTGTGTGATTGCCTGAGTATTTCATCATTGTCCTACATGCCCACGGAGAGTTGCGGGAGAGAGGCACTTGTTTTTCCTGCCTACTTTTGCTTCCAGGCCTCCAGGGACCTCAACGGCGGCTGACAAAGCGAGGCTGCAGCAGAGGGTCCCCGTGCCCTCGCCCCATCGGCCCCTCCACCTCGGGCCGCTGGCTCGGGCTGGAGCTTTCGGGGCTGCCCAGGCAGGACCCGGCTGAGAGAGGTGGGGGGCGAGCTGCGGTTCCCCCGAATGCCCCAGCCCTGCTCCTTGAACCCTCCAGCCCGAGGGCTCCCGGGGGTCTCCTCTGGCACGCGAGCCGCCGCCGTCTTTGCAGAGCAGACCTTCACCGCCAGCCTCAACCTCGGCTGGGGGCACGCGGAGACAGCCCCCCATCTCGCCGCTGCTGCGCGGCAGCGCCGCTAGCCCGGAGGCAGAGAGCGCACGGGTGCGTACGGCGAGCGGCCGGCCTCGGGGGCCGTCAGCGGCGAAGGAGCAGCGCTGCACGGCCAGCGCCGACCGGTCCCGGTCCCATCCCTCGCCCCGGGCCCGGCCCTCAGCCCATCGCGGGGCTGGGAAGAGCCACAGCCTTGGCTGCGGCACCTGCGTCGCCGGGCAGCCGGCTGCGCGGCGGGGAGCGCAACGCTAGATGGGCCAGGCTGGCCTGGATGTTTTTCAAGTGGAGATTAACCGCCGAGTAGGTTCTTTTTATTTAAGATGCCATATGTCTCTTCCCTCTAAATATCTCTTCCATCAGACACCGCTGTGATTCCCAGTCTGCCTTCCAACCCTGACTTTGAGACACTCCTGCAAGCACTTCATAAAAGCCTGTTAGACTGGAGACGGAAAATGCTCTGAAGCCTCCTCCTGTCCATCCCCCGCGTACGTCGCGCCTGGACGTACCCGCGGCTGCTCCGTCCACGCTCACCCGGGAGCCACAGCATGTTTGGGGGGTGCGGCACATCTCGGGGGGGTGGATGTCATTTCTGGACCCGGGGCAGAGCGTGAGTTTGACTCCGGTGACTCATTTGATTACGCTGCAAATTCTCTTCTCCTCCTGCAAAACTGGGGATAGCAACGCTATCCTTTTCCCCTGCTGTGAGCTCCAATATATCAAGGATTGTGAGGCACTTAATACTATGTAAATGGGAGACGTATCAGCTGTGCCTCAGATAAATGAATTTCACTGAGATTGATGGGTGTGAAGCACTTCCAAAATTAGGCCTATTCTTCTTAAATCAAACAGTTTCCCCAAGCCAGTTCAGCTCCACTGATGTAGAGGAAGTCATCAAGTTGCGATTCATCATCGGGTTCAATCCCAGGCCTTCGAGACGCTGACCCCCCGCGCGCGTCCCCCTCCTCTCCGCAGCGAGCCGGCGTTTGGCCGGGCGCACGATGAGCGGGACCCCCGTCTCTGAGCCCCAGGGCACCCACGGCTTGGTCTGCAAACCCAGGGCACGCTCCTGGTGCTACTAAAGCCACATCAGGTGTCCTGCGCGGAGCTTGGAGAATCGCCTGGTCGGTCAGGGTCATCTTCGCAGCGCTTACGTAGCAGCAGATTTGAACTACAAAGCGCTGTTTTCTCCAAATCTTGCCTGACCATCCTCGCCTTCGGAGCTGAAGAAGAATCGTGTAAATCAAACTTCAGCACCTCTGAAATCCCTGCCTTGCTCCCGAGGGTCTCCGCCCCTCTCCTGCCGCCCGCGTTGCAGGTCTGGCGCTATTTCTAGGGATTGGGGCTAGAAAAACAGCGCAGAGCGACCTGAGTGCTGCGCTCCGGTGCTTACGCTGAACTGAATTTATGCCGTTAAATGCTCTGTAACGTACAGATAATATCGTAAACCTCGTTTCATTCAGTTAGCAAACAGTAAATCCCTCTCCCGCGTAGCAGCACCGCCATCAAACCGCAGCTAGCTGAGTAAAGCTGCAGTCAACCCCACCACGCTGTTTGCTACAGCTTCGTGTTCGCCACCCCGAGCCTCAGGGGCTGCCAGTAGGGAGAGGGGTCCGTGGGCAGCCCGCTCCTCCCGGGGCTGGAATTTCTCCCCTTCTTGCTGCCAAAGCCAAGCACCTCCTGACTACAAGTATCCGTCTGGTGTTTACGTGTGGAGGAGCTCAGCTCTCTCCAACTTTTTAACTGCAGATAATCAACAAAGCTGGGCAAATAATTCAGCACGTATAATTTATTCTATGAATTTTGATTCTTTGCCCACAAGCAGCTCGTGCTTCTCACAAAGGTATTGGTCCTATGAAATTATGCAGGGGAACTGCTGCCTTGGCCTAGAGCTCGTTCAGCCGGCTGGCAGCGAGCGTTTGACACCCCGAGCATTGCAATGCTGGCCGCTTGCTTGCCTTCGATTAGGTGCCTGCCTCGCACGGTATTTCTTCTGCTGATAGCCTGGGAGAGATCTAACCTGAGAGGGCATCTCCTACGGGCAGAGCATTGCTAATGGAAAACCTACCCGCTCACCGAGGACAGTCGTTCCC